AGCAGCAGCGGCAGCACTCATCTGGTCCCCACTCCCTGTGTAATGATAAAAGACAAAAATGATTAAGCTGTATATCCTGATTACCTGCTCCTTCACATGCAGACACACACAGTGTTCCTGTCAGCTGGTATTTTTCAAATTCAATTGGTCGGTAATGGCCTCTTGTTTGAAACCATGTAGAGTAATTAAGAGAGACAGAGTTATGTAAGACTAATCCAATTCTTTATAAATCTTCATCTCAATAATAGGAATGCATTTGGCTGTGCAGGGATGGTGCTATTCTTTAACATCTCTGTGTGTGCTCCATTCATTTTCTCCCCTCATTTCCCCCTGTTCTCATTGACAAAAAAAAAAAAGGAGTAGTGAAATGAAGTAGACATCCTCCCTCATCTATCTCTCTTCCCTCACGATGCTTCCACGGCGCATGTCAGAGAGGAGGGAGGGATGAATGTAATGGTGCTATTTATAGTAACTGTTGCAGTTTAAAAAAAAAAGAAAAAGAAAAATCTCCATTTCCAAGCCCCCCATCGACCCACCCTTCTTCCCTTTAAAGGATAGAGAGCAATGCAACTGTCCTTCCTGTCTGTGCTGTGTGTTCCCACCACTTCCCTAACCCCTCACATCATCTTGTCATCCATCTATCCCTCCATCCCTTTAGTCTGTTTTGTACCATTGTTGAAATGCTCTCAGCAAAGGATGTATAATTCATCTCTCCTCCAGAGTGGTTGCACACCAGTCATGAATTGAGTCGGGGCGAGGAGGAGAAGGGGAAAAGAGTGAGCTGAGAGGAGAAGGGAGGAGAGGAGAGGAGAGGAGAGGTATAAAGAGGCAGTGAGAGGGAGCAATGCTTCGTGCTACGCATCTCAAGTTGGCTTTGTTTTAAACAAGGACCACTCATGTATATTCTCTGCGTGGTTTAAGTGGGGCACATCAGGGTCTCTATTTCTTATCAGGTATCAAAACAGAGCAGGTCTGCAGCTGTGCCATATTTGTGATATTCTTTTATGATAGCAAACTGCAGTCCATCTGTCTACAGTTAAACCTTGTTAGTCATTATTCTGCTAAATACTCTTCTGACTTTCAGGGTTTGACGTTTTCATCAATTCTGTGCATCCTTTCCACGTCTCGAAGAAAAGTGCGTAAGTGAGAAAACGGTTGTTCTGTGGTGGAAGAAGTATTCAGATATTTTACTCAAGTTGTCTTGCTTTCAAAACCTGAAGTAGCAAAATGTACTTGAAGTATCAAAGTGAGAGTACTCATGTAGAATAATGTCCCCTGAGACGGCTAATGTTACCTATTGCATTAATAATGATTAATCAGTGAATAAGAAGCATTTTGCCATTGTAGCTGGTAGAGGTGGAGCTAGTTTTCCCATAACTACTGCGTATACAGTTAGGTTGTGGATCCCAACCAAGGTGTTAAGTGATTATGAGATGAAAGAAAAACCACATTGTATTCATGCCAGTACTTCTTTTTTTTCTGTTTTGAATTATTGAGTTTTATCTCTTTGATCCTTAAACAGAATTAAATTGAAACCATCTGAGAACATCAGAGGGGAAATCTTTCTTTGATGGAACAACTCTGGCCCAAAAGGCGCCGCTTTTTCGCTGCTTATAATTAAAATCTTGATCTGAAAAGTAACAAGTAATCGTATCCATCAAATAAATACAGTTGAATAGTTTGCCTTTTGAAATGTATTGGAGTGAAAGTAACACAAACTAGAAATACTCTAGTAAAGTAGTATCTCAAATTGTACCTGAGTACAGGTCGACTCTCCGGCCTTTTGACAGTGAGAGTTAAAGTGAATTCAGAAGCATGAATTCCTACACCTCCAATTTGAATCATCCAAACATATACAACAAATACTACAACAAATACTGTGTTCTCCAGAATAATCAATGAAAGCAAAGAGAAGTGGTTTTTGGTTGGACTGCAACAGCAGGGCCAGTCCTATAAATGTGAATGTCACCCGCTGACTGACTGACTGGCTGAGTGATGAAGTTACACCATTGGTTAGCAAGTCGTTGTTGTTGCTTTTTCGAAATGATTTTTTGCAAATGAGCAGTGTTACCAACTTAACGCCTTTATTTGTTCGCTACTTTCACCAGTATTGCCTTGTGAATGTGAGGTTGGGCTTTCCCTCCGCTGGTACACTTCTCTATGCTGACCGCACAGCAGCTAACATGAATAAGCCTCTAACTTTTTGTCTGAGTGATCATTTGACAAGTAAATGCAGCCAAAATCACAGCACAGCTATTGTCTTTAATTTGTGTGAATGGTGATTTTGTCAAACGACATTGTGGTTATAAAGTCAGGATTTTAGCAGCAGAGCAGCAGCTTGGAAAAGGCTTGACAGATGGTTAACATGTAGTCTTTTAATGGGCCACGTTTCAGTCACTATTTCATACTTATTCTGTTGTCTGACAACAGAAACAGAAAAACATGTAAATGACAACAGCTTTATTGGTAATTTGGCTGTGTTAAAGTGCTGTATATGTGAGCACAGAGAGTCAGAGAGAAGCAAGCAGATAAAGGGCTGAAACCGGCTGACTCTAGGCAGGATGCAAATAGCCTACGATGTGGTCCAGCCATATTCTTGGTTTTGACCTTTGTCTTGTTAAAATTGAGGCTGAAACCTTTGCAATGGAATTTCTGAGAAGAAGGTGTGATTTAAGGTCATGGGGCAGGATGTTTCTCTGAGAGGTTTTCTTTGACAAACAGTGCATTTGTCCACTGGATCATATTGAGTTCCCACTCTGTCTCCCAGGTGTACAGCATGTCATTGTCAGAGGAGGACAGGACCACGTACAGTAGCTTTCACACTCCTGCTCCTGTTATATGGAATGACAGCACAGATGTTGTACCTCTTGTTGTTGTCTTGTTTCAGTTCGTTCTGAGCTGCGTCAGAGTTGTTGTAATTGCTTGGTGACAGTGGCCTGAAATAAGCCACTAATTGGCTGTTTTCCTGGGCTTGCTGCTCCACCAGCAAAAGTGACTGAGATCAGGGACCTTCAAACATTTATTTATCATACACATTTATGAGTCACTGCCTGCAGTGGCGTGTGTTTCCGTCATGTTCAGCTTCACTCAAAGTGTTCCGTTATAGGCCGCTAATGTCGCATCTTCATCCGTGCATGTGTTGATGTGCTTTTCTTTTAAATCGTCTCTCTATTGTTTTTTGAAGTTCAGTCATTCTTAAGCAAAGCAGAATGTGCAGCCTTTGAAAATCATTGCTTTGACATGGAATCAGCAGCTGCAGTAGAAACCAAAGCAGCCTTCAGGTGTGATGAAAAAAGTCTTTGGTTTGCCGTTCCACATAAATGAGCCGACTGTGTTTTTTGAACAAGTGGGCAGATTGCATGATGACAAATGGCCCAATTCAGTGACACCTCACAACTCACTGCTAGCTGTCGCTTCTGCGCCTGCATCACTGCCTGATGAGACTAAAATAGTGCCTGAGCCTGACACTTCCTGTGAAAAACAAAACCAAAAATAATCGCTTCATGGCTTAGTAGTACGATGCAAGTTTATAAGTAATACAAGTCTTCTGCCTTCCTCTAAACATTCACTCTAACACGGGTACAGTATGAATTGTTTCAGTAGATTTAAAGCCTTTCATCATTTTCAAATGGTTCACCTCAGACTTGAACTTCAGTTTTACCTGGATTTATTGTTGTAAACATGTTGATCTTTCATCAAGGCCCAGGTTTTTCCTAAACGCAACATTAATCAAACTCACCATATTAGGTTTTTTTTCACAGGCTGCAGATGTAACCTGCTGCTGAAGTGCTTGGCTATCATTCATGGGTTATGATGGCACAAGGTCGAGAGCTCTCTCGATGTAAAGAGACATCTTGAAAGCTGTAGAATAAGATACAGTAGTTCTGTCTTTTGTGAAAGGTTAAACTTGCAAACTTAGTGCAAGTTAAACATCAACAAAATCTACGCAAACATACTTTAATGGATTTGATACACGTCTAACACGATGTGTCTTAGTTGCTGAATCTGGCTTTTGAATAAATGATGTGTTGACACCAGAAAAGTAACAAAATACTCACTTGATTTTTGTGTGAGATGTTTGTGGACATAATTGTCTCGCACTGGAATACACAGCAGTAATGGAGAAACAGTAGACGTTGATTATGAGACAGCTCCAGAAATATCTCTGACAGTGGAAATAAAAGCTTTGTGAAGGTATGTCACATAACCTTTGCTTAAGAGCTGCCTCTCTGGCTACAAGGCCCATTGACAAGATAATGATAAATGCTAAAATGAAGCGTAACACTAGCACAAGGAGAGAGTCATGAAGTCAACTATCTGACTTATTGGTGTCAGTTACACAGTAGTAGCTATTATATCTAAAATCTAATTAATCTAATAATATATCTATCGAAAGCAGCAAAACCCCTGAGTGTGTTAAACAGAGCAAGGGTGTGTTGTTTAATTGAGTTCATCTCTCAGCACATGACTTGTGTCTTTATTATTATTATTTGCTGTTGTCATATGGTGGTTGGATACATTGATTTCTTATATATTATATACAAAAACGGTATACTTCATTACACACTGCACTGAGTTAGTATGTAGTGTTGAACAAAGACAAGGCTTTGATGGTAGCTCACCCACCATATATCATTATTTGCCGCCATCTGGTGGAATCTTTGTAGTATAGCATTCAGTGTGGAGAACTTGGGGTTGATTCAACATGCATTCCTCAAAAATGGAAATTTCATCAGTGGAACAAGTAATATGAAAATATGAAGCAGTTGGAAAGCATGTGAAATAAGAGATAATTTAAAAGTCTCTATGGGATACCATTAGTCAGATCATATAGAGCTATTTAGGAGGCCAAATATACTGAAAAGCATTTTAATTTAGTAATTTCTACAGTGAAATGCAACTTAAATACAGTTAACTACAATCTAAGTGGTTAGAATTTGATGTAATTTTAAATTTATACTTACTTAATACTAATTTATTACTCATCTTTGCCCACACAGCTGTTCACTGCAACCTGAGCCAGAATGGCATCGACCACCAGATGTGCCCGGAGGACGTGACATCACAGCTGGAGGAAGAGGAGGAGTCTGTGGATGCAGGGACTGTTCTGCTGGACGACGACAGCCCGAGCTACCAGGATGTCAGCCCCCCGATGTACCAGCGCCGCTCCCCACCACACCGCTCCGTCTCTGAGTCTGAGCTGACACGGGTAAGAGCTGATCCGAAAGCACCCTGCACAGTATAAGTGGTGGCATCAGTGTTAATTTGACCCAGAGAGCATGGAGATCAACTTTATGCCTGCGCTGTTCACACTTATCACAAATGATTTAACATCTTCGGATTTCCAGTGTAGACTCCTTATCTTGAAATAATTGTTTGTGAAAATCAGCACTTGTGACTTGGGAAATTGCCACCTGATGCCATGATCTTTCAGATTATTCTGATTTCAGTGTTGGTAGGAGGAATATAATCCTGGTGGAAAAATGGTCTCCCTCTGCGATTGTTTCTTTTGTGATACTACCGGTTAATGTATGTCTTGAATTAATATCATGGAATTCTATAGTCTACTTTAAGTAATATAAGCTTATATGTCTTTGGAAATAAGCACCCCAGGCATAAAGTATGAGACACCTGCAAGTTTCAGTCAAATGAAAACAGTAAAAACTTAACTGAACGGATTATTTAAATTCCATTTGACATGATTTCCTGACTTTTTGCACAATCTATTTTAAAATCTGTCATTAGTATCTGTAGTCTGGATTTTAAATCATGAGTTGTTTTTTGGCCACTTGGGGGCAGCAGAGCAAGCTGTTAACATTGCTGGCAACAGTTGCCTATTTACATGTCCAGCAAATATGCAGCAAAGCTAGCATTCATTTTGAGTCATGTTTCTGGACATCAGACAAATATAATTAAGCTTACTTTTTAGCTCTTTGAGAAATATCTGGTTCTTTAAGTTAATAAATGCTTCTCTATAGATATACTTTGTCGTTTGAAGCTGGTTAGGTAACATACATTAGTTTAATAGTATTTGGGTGGTGAGACTAAAGCAAAACAGGGTAGTTGCTCGCTGTAAACTCAAAACAATCAGCTGAAAGGTGTCAAAATTTCAACTGAAATACTTTGTTTTATGACCTATATCTGCCAAATTCCGTCATCCTCCATTGTACTTTGTGTTCACGGCTAACTAACAAATGTTAGCATGCTAACATTTTCAACAAGGATGGTTATGTTAAACCTTATACCTGCTAAACATCGACATGTGAAGCATTTCTCATTGTGAGAATGTTAGCATGCTGGACTTAGCATTTAGCATAGCCTCACAAAGCCATGTTTCTGAATTGATCTCATTCAGACAAAATATTTATAGTGAAAGTCTTGTTACGCTGGTGTGGTTTCATCGCTTTTATAACACCGTTAATAAGTGCTTTGTCTGTGGTCAAATTACAATGTGTCTACAAAAACATTGTTGGGGCTGCTTTGCACCCACAAAAACAAATCAACCGCCCACTTAAATACAATAATCCCCTATGTTCCGCACATCTACCTCTTCAGTTCAAACAAAGAGTTTAACAGGGAATAAACAAGGAAAGACGAGCTGTTGTTCCAGGCTGCGACTCAACTCTTCCTCAGTGTTTCTGATAATAGATCAAAGGAGCCATCATCAGTAACGCAGAATAAATTCCTCTCTTCCACTCCAGAAATAGACCGTGGTTGGGACAGTGGGAGGAGACAGGAGTGATAGCTCCTGACGCACACACTCTCATATTCTCTTTTCGCTGTGTAAAATCTGTGGTAATCAGCTGTCAATCAGTGCGAGTGGAAGTACTTTGAGTCAGACACAGTCCTCTGTGAAAAACCCTGGATCCTTAGCCTTTTGAAGAAGAGGAAAACCAGGCCTGGGTTCAGTTAGTGCAGACACACACACACACATACAATACTTATAAACACACATTTAAAAGATAGTGGAGATGCTCAGTTCCTTCTGGATTGTGCTGCGCCTGTAAGTTAATATGTGGTGATTGTGAGGTAGCAGTATCTGTAACATACTGTGGTGCTGTGTGGTTTATACAGGCATCATCATGTAACTCTGTATCTCAGCATTATTCTGTTTGAAGCAGAAGCTAAGTCTGAATTGCATTAGAGACCTGGAGGAAGTAGTGTATTAGCTTTCAGTCTCAGTGTTGTGTGTGTGGATTGCAGTTAAGAGATTTTCTCTTTGAGAGAAACTCAATAGATCAAGCGCATAAAGACTATAATTACATAGAATGGCAAACTATTCTCTCATGCAATACAGCCATGGGCCAGATAATATTTATGAATGATACGGGGATCAGAGCTTAATTAAGTACTAAAAGAGAGGTTTTGCCGACATATTAACTTTACTGTTAAATATGAAAGTCTGAGTGAAACAGCACTTACAGCATCTATAGCTTAAGTAATGTGATGTTATTTCTGAGTGAAAGGGAGTATGTGGGGAGGGTGTAATTTTTAGAGGACTTAGAATCAAATTTTTCAGATCTGATTGGATCGCTCGAAAATGAGTTTGCCATATTGAACCCAAACACACACCACCTCCAATAATATAGCTCTACTAGCCACCTTTTGAAAGGCTAACCTTGATCTTATTACATTTGATAGGAAAAATGTATGTATATAAATGAGCGCCTGAGTTCAAGAGGAATCATGAGAAATACTGTAATATTTTACTGGAGGACAAAAGAGAGGGATTTTAAATCTTTTTTTCTTTTTTACAAATATTTGGCATATGCCTAAAGCAAAACTTAAACTGTGTCTGTAAACATGATTTTGACAATATATCGGGGTGCAGCTTGTAGATACTGTTTACTGGATATGCCGGAGGGTAAAATGGTTCAAAGACTTTTCAAAGACATAAAGAACAGATTTATTTATCTTTCACATTGAGACATATATTAAATGATATTTCACTGGTTGTTTTGAATTGAAGCAGTGTCAGTAAAATGGCAACAGTCACGCCGATGAAATGAGAGCTGAGTACAGGTATATGGTGCCAGTACAATAGCTCTCACTAACATCATATACAAATATGCTTATCTACTAAACAGTAGAAATAAAATGCAAAGTTTTGTAAACACTTCGAATGAAAGGGAGGAGTTTTCTGATGAAGTAGTAACTAAACAAGTCTTGATACACACCCCTGTAAAATTCAAAACATCTCCTCAGCTTCCTGGTGGGAAACTCAACATCTAGTCAGGATCGCTGACTGAGACAAAGATGTGGTTTTCATGTCGAGCGTATAAGTACCTATTTTAATGCTTCCTCAATTAGCTCTTAATAAATGTGAAGATTCAATAAAACTCCAGACCTCAGTGCCAACCTGTGGGAAGGCTTACTGTAGGTCATTTCAGTTCATCACGTCAGCAGTTAGTGTTAATTTTTAAATATTGGATTAAAGCTGACTCCTGCGCATGGCTGGATTTGTAATTGAGCCAAGGCTTAGCCATAGATTAAACATGAAGCATAAAACAGCCATTTAGACTCAGTGGATGACTAAAACATCCGTGGCAAATCAGCTCATCTCCGTCATAATCAATATCAAGTCCAAGGTGAATATATTTTGTTTGGTGTTAACACGCCCTGCAATGCTTTATGGACCCTGCCGAATCCCAAGGTCAGGCGCTGTGAAGAGGTCTTGTCTACTTTCTTTGATGTGCCTGAGTAAAGTTGGCACGGCCTGTAAATCCAATTTCAAACAGAGGCTCCTTATGAAGGCTTATTAATTTATCCACCATAGTGTGTTATTCTCAGTCAGCCATCCACAGCTCTCTGGACTCCACTCACCCCGTCCACACACACACACGCACACACACACACACACACACACACACACACATACGCACACACACATAGACACACGCACGCACACATAGACATATCTCGGTTTCATCCCCACTCCTGTATGTAACAGATTAATTAATACAGGGAATTTTCATCTCCTGCCAGCTCTGGCTGAGAGAAATGGAGCGAGGCAGAGAGAAAAGAAAGTGAGGGAGAGCATGCCAGAGCTGTTAATTAGCTGTGCAGTGGAGATAGGGCAGACGACACAGGGCTCCGTGTCTCAAACAGCCATTCACTCAGTCAATATGACACTAATGGCAGTGGCCCTCCTCCTCTCAGCGCTTTTCTGCCCAGTCACATTCAAAAGTGGCAGCAAGTGTTTAGTTGTGACACTAGAGGGCGGTATGTAACAGTGAATCATACTGGCGTAACATAAACAAGTTCAATATACAAGGAGAGGATCACAGTCTCATGCAACCTTGCAGTTTCTCTGGTGCTCTTGAAAATTGATGGAATAAATGGCGGAAAAGAATTCACCAGAATCAGAATTGAATTTCTGTGCAATACTTTAAATTTGCATATACTGACAGGTCCAAACGAAATAGCATACACAGTGCAAGATATACTGTGATAACACTTCACTTTAGCTCCCCTTGTTTAACATTCACAGTATACACTCAGTTGCCAGTTTATTAGGTACACCTGGTTAAAAACGAATGCAGTCTAATACAACAGCCCCAGTTATCACGTTCTGCTTTTGTTCAGAGAGACGTTGGTTCAACTGTATCATCATTTGTGCTGTTGAACTGCATAGCATTATACAGAGAGGTGTTTCTTATTCAGCCTACCCTCACTGGTATAAACCTGTGGGTATATAACGCAATACATTTCCTGTTGTATTAGACTGCATTAGTTTTAGCTCAGTGGAACAAATAAACTGGTGTGTATGGACATTTAATTTAAGGTTTTTACTGCACTGTAAGGTCACTGTAAGCAGATGTAAGGTCCTTTTTCAAAAGCGTTTCATTGATGTAGTTATCAACACTTCTTCCTGTGAAGCATCTATGACTGGATACTGGCATATGAACAGATGATGAATGACAATGACTATAACAGTAATATAAAATATACCTTCATATGGGAAGTTATAATTGTTGAAAATTCTGCACTAAAGAGAATCTCGTGAACAATATATTTTGGTGGGGGTTAAAGTGAAGTGTTAGCTCTGTATGCTACACAGTTTGTTTGTCTATATGGCTTCAACAGTCTCATAGTGATGTGTTTTATGGTTAAACTTTGATAGCCGGGTCAACAAAACACAGGACGTCATCAATCGTCCGATCAAACGTGAACATTGTTCCTCATTGCACCGTCTCAACTGCATGTTATCAATGTAACCATGACGATGAAGGTGCGGCACGCCTGCCATCATACGTGTGCGATTTCAGGTTGGAGGCACTTTTCCTGCGTTCCCAGTGTAACTGTTCTGATACAGGTCTTTCTCAGGGTTTCACTATTTTGGAAGTCTCCTGCTTTTCCAGCTTGTTTCCTAAAAGATCTCCTGAAAAATAACATTTCTTCTCGGCTGAGGTGGTCGAAACATGACTAACAGGGAAATTCGATTCGAAAATCATTTCATCATCAAAAAAGCAGCTAATTAAAAGTTCACAATGTTTCTTTTAATGAAAACTTCAGGAATTCCCCTCATTTTTCCTCATAAACTAATAGAAAATATAAGTCTACAGAATGCCTGAAGTTGCTTCCTCTCTTTAAATACCAGGCTTTATCATGCTCACCTCTCTTGTCTTTGAAAAAAATCTGAAAAGCAAAGTAAAAAAAAAAGAAAGTACTTCACAAACTGGATGGTCTCATAAAAGATACATTACACCTCTAGTCTTTGAAATCTAGTTAACTTTGTTATATATGTAGGAACTCGGCTTACCCCCCTCTGATGCACTCTGCAGTGTGACATCTCCTATTGTTGTGGGTTTTTTTTTTTTTTGTTTTTTTTTCTCTTAAGCTGATTGTACAATGAAACGGGATTGTTTTGTTCTGAACACAGCCACTTTTTATCCAACAAACAATAATGCTCCTAATGAAGGCTGCTCGACAGCTGTAATGGTTCTGCACAAAAGCTGCGGCTCTTGTGCTGCCAGATAGCCCCTGTACACATTTGCACAATAAATGAACTCTGCCCACTTCTATTGTCTTGGGAAATATCTAGGGCTGAGGTTCAACTTGAATTATTTTTGGGAAGTAAACAAAACTGAAAAACTCTGAAATCTATTTGATGTTATGAGGTCTTTGTGGCCAGTTTAATTCTGAGTACAGTCAATTATTGACAAAACAATGTCATTATATGTGCTAATTGCTGCTGCAGTTAACATTTTTAATTGAGTGTAGAGCCACTTGACCCTACAATCAGCCTAACAGAATGAAAATCGCGACACAAGGGGGTTGCAGTTCTGCTTGGAAACGACTACATGCTGTACACAACACCACTGCCAAATTCACACTGTCGGACACATGGTGTTTGTGTCTGGAATGCTTTTCAGTGCTTTTAATTCCCAGCTCCTTTTCCATTCCAACGCTGTCTTTACAAAGGGGCCATGTTATTGCCTCTTGATTAATTTAGCTCAGCACATTCATATTGGATCTTTAAATGCTTATCAGTGTTGGTGCAATTACATGCTTCATTATGTATGTAATAGTTCTCCACTGTGGCCGTTAATGTGTGCATGTTTATTTCAGACTCTGGTTCATGTTAGGGTTGTGCGTTTTTCCCCAAAGGCTTTATTCTTTGTCTTTTAATTTTTGAGGTTGTCCTTGCTCTGTTGCTAAGGTAACGTGAAGAATACTGGGAGCTGTACTGGGCTTTCAGATATCAATTAAACCCAAGGACAGTGCAGCACTGAACGCACATTGGCATATATGGCAAATGGATGGTTTGCGTGTGGGTGTGCATGTGTGTATTCGTTGCATTCATGGGTTTTTCTTTCGTAGGTGTTTTGCGTGCCTGGGCTGCACATGTTGTGTGTGTGGATGTGTGTGCGGATGTGTGTGCGTGCCTGTTCCCAGATGTATTCCACTTAGAAATAAAGCAAGCTTTTCCTCTCACCGCTGTGCTGTCACTCAAATCTCTAATTGGCCCACAGTCTCTTGAACACAGCTCTTTGAGCATGATTGTACTCCTGTTTTCTTCTCTCTGCTGTTTTCACTCCACCCTTTGGCTCTGCAGGCTGGCAGGCAGGCAGGAAGGCACCAGCTCACCTATTGTACCGGCCTCCAGGAACACAGCTATGGGCTAAATCAGTGCAGAATGTAAAACACAGATGGCCATTGACTCACAAATGGGTTCATGGAAAATGAGGGAGTCTCCTGTGTCAGACTCTGCTGAATCCACTCTGTAGCAGTAGCTTTTTTTTTTTTTTTTTTTCTAATCTCCTTCTTTATTCCTGTGTCTCATCTGTCAATCCAGCCATCCCTCACACTCCCAGCATCCTCTCCTCTCTCACTCCTGCTAGTTGTACTCTCCCAGCCTCTCCTTTCTCACATGCTCTCAGTGCACACACTTCCTCTCCCTCTTCTCTCCACTCTGTCCCTCACTCTTTCTCCATCCTGGCCTCCCTCTCTCTTTTGTCGCCTCAGGCTTCTAGTCGGGGTTAATTAGCATTGAGTTGAGATGTGTTTAATGGTTAATGTGGTTTCTTCCTGCCATACCACTCCCTCCCCTCCCTGCAGATTTAGCATCTATCCACGCAGTCTGCCAAGCAACTGCATTAAGACCAAAGCCTCACCTACCTGCCTACCTGCCTACCTGCCTACCTGCCTACCTGCGTACCTGCCCACCTGCTTGCTTTTGCATTCTGTCACTTTCTTCTATCTGCAAAGGATATAGAGCCCCTCCCCAATTTCTCTGTCTCTCTAGGATGCTAGATATAGAGTGAGTGGGAAGGAGCGGTGGAGAGGCTCAGAGAAGGAGAGAGTGAGGTAGTACCATATAATAAGAAACAGGTGAGAGAGAGAGACAGAGGGATATGGGCGAGATGAGAACCACAATATATGGGGAGAGGAGGTGAGAAAGACAATGTGATAGATCTGACAGGAACAGAGCGAGATTGAATACGGGGGAGAGATGAGAGATGGGGGTGGGGGGGTTGGGAAGGGAAGGAGCCAGAAGGCAAAGCATAGGAAATGCTGCCAGTACCTGTTATTCGGCTTTCTTTGGGGTGGGGAAGAGAGGGGGCCTTCCATTGCTATGCCACACCACACTGCAGCCAGAGAACAGGCTGAAGTGGAGGGGAGTGGATGTGAAATTTTAATCACCTCTCTCTGTTTGTAATTTTAGTAGCCCCTCAATCAAAATCAAAAAGCACTGCCAGCACTTTCAAGAGCGTTTCTTTGGCAGCCTTTCGCCCTGCCTGCTGTTGAAGTATTTAAACTCGAATGGCATCTTGCAACCGGAGCGCAGTGCGATACACACGTGCATGTGAGTGCGGGTACGTACTATTACATGCATTCTAATATAAACTGCTTGTTAGATGTCATACGTTTGTGCAGCTGGATTTGAGCGTCACTCTCTCCACATTGTGACAACTACATAAGCAGAGTTTTTACAGATCAATGCTCGGATCAGCCCCCTTATGTATTGTTTCCACCTCTTCCTCTACTGCCATCTGCAGAGGGCAGTAATGCACACGACAGATGTTTGGTGGTGTTTTTTTAGTGATGCTAGTGGTGTGGCTCTGGTTGGTTGGTCCATGAAATTTTGTACAGGCATTATTGGTGCCCAGAGGGTTAAAACCTAACTGACTTTAGTGATCCTCTGATTTTTTTTTTGTTTGTTTTTATTCGTGGTTTTGAGTAAAAATGTCTCAACAAATGAAGAGCTGTAGACTCGAGTTTTCCTCATATTGTAATTGTCAAATTTCTTTGCAAAGTCACCATTTCAGGTTTTCCCATTTTCATGTTATGTTGTTTTGTACTAGTTGTTCTGGTTCATCTGGTCGAGTGCATACCACTTAGGCTGAGTCCTTTCTGCAGCTAGTGGTCCAGGTCTGAGACCAGCCTGGGCCCTTTGCTGCATGTCATCCCCTCTCTCTTTCTCTCTCTCCCAAACCTTTCCTTTCACTCTTTCACTATCTCTATCACATTAAAAGCAAAAAATTGGCAGAACTTGTGGAAAAATTGTGCAACAAAACATAACATTTGCTGGTAATAATGAGCTGTTAAAGGTAGCAGTCTGCCAATGAAAGGACTACACTACTAAAAGGACTTTGCTCATACACTTGTCAGGCCTTAAGGATATTTACAATGCAGTTTAGGGAGATAAACTAAATGTAAACAAAATCTGATTTATTCATACTTAAAGCTTCCCATGATACTTTAATACCAGGCTGTGCAGATTTGCCTGATTAGAAACCCAATTTGATCGTACCAACAAATTTTAGAACGGGGCCAAATTTGAACATATTGTCCACATCCTCCCAGCCATCTGGACGGGTCCATATTCTTTTGTCCTCCTCGCTTTCCATTCAAAGTAGAATTATAGAAAGTAACTGCCTCTCTCTTTCTGCCAAGGGGATTGGAGAATGTCGGTCAGGGGTTCAATATTTACATTTTATATGAGCAATTGCGAACGATTGTGATCAGTTGAACCTTGAAGTGCGAGCTAGGGGTTAACTCAACATACAAGATTAATACAGTCGTACATCACAGTGTCTCTTTATTGACTATCCTGGAGTTATATGTCTTGTTTTTACTTTTAAAAGATTAATACTTTATTGATCCTTGAGGGAAAATGTCAGACAGCAGCAAGTAAATATTTTATGACTACATCAGCTGGAAGGCCATCTCCATAAAGATGTCACATGGTTGCATTAAGGCCAATCAGTGGAAAAACAACAACAGTATTTTATTAGGTGGTTACTGCAGCTTCTAAATCCAAATGTGAAAGTGGTAGTCCATCCATAGTGTCTTCATATTTTACCAATAGTCGTACATAAAGCACGTAAAACAGCAGTAACTGTGCAGCACGTTTGTAAAAGAGCGGTCTCTAAATGTTTTGTGTGGTTTTGTCTGTTTAACAGCCAGGGTACGTGAAGCTGTCCAAGCCAGTGGCTCTGTGGACCCAACAGGACGTGTGCAAGTGGCTGAAGAAACACTGTCCTAATCAGCACCAGATCTACAGCGACTCCTTCAAACAGCACGATATCACAGGTACTTTTTGGCACCCTGCACTTACCTGTGCAGCGGCTGTCATGTATTATGCAGTAGAACAACCAGATCTGCTCTATTACAGCATAGCAAACCTGGTTTTTGTGTTGTAGCTGCTGCAAGGTGATTAGAGGTTGATGCTTGAAGTTGCGTTTGTTTATTTTTGAACGATATTATGCGGAACTGTTCATGATAAAGAATCTCTCTGTTATCAGGTCCAGTAATTTGCCTTGTCATGACTTTGTCTGGTCTATTTAGAGGAATTCATATCGCTGACATTGGTGCAGTGTCATCAACAACTTTTTTCAGATGGAGTTTACAGTGACACAGGTCGTCTCTTTCTTAGAACTCTGCTGCATTTGCCGTTTCTTGTCTTGATCTCATTCATAACATCCCCGGTGCACCCTGCACCCACTGTCTGCCCCCCTGCGGTCCTGCCACCCGTCCTACCCGTCTGTCCATCCCCTCCTTCACCACTAGTCAGCATCACCACTGACAACGGTTGCCACGTCAATCACTCCTCTAACGAGGCTCCTCAAGGTCACCTCGGCGCTAATGACACTCCGGTCCGCATAGCAACAGACGACCATTAATTGCCGTGCACTCTTCCTCTCGGAGCACAACCGATCACATTAATATGTTTATTTGTTGCTGTCGAGGACCTCCTCGACTCAGTGACTGGCTGGCAGGATAAATCGCTTTGGCGGTCATGATGAGTGAATGATGATAATGACTCACGCTCCCGTTTTACCCTTTGATGCATTTTGACTGATGTTTGCATGGTGGGTTTTGAGATTTAGCATCCTCTGTTTAATGGTCTGAAAATATGAATCTTGCTGCTCTGCAGTTCAAGTTTCACACATATCTCATCAGCGGCGCAGAGGTCCAGGAGATAATCCACAGTTCATTGCATGCTCGCTGAACCCTTGCTACACTGTGGATCTATTTTCAAGTCAAACCAATTTGAAAGATTTTATTTTGTTTTCTTTTCATTCGAAGTACAGAACAAGCACCGCTGTGTGAAACACAAGTTGAAGCGTTCTTTTTTTTTTTTTTTTTTTTTTTTCTATTGCCGCCTTTATTTAAAATTGAGTCTTATGTGCAGAATTAAAAAGGACTCACAGAGGCTACAACTGAAGACGCTCCTCTTATCATATCCATGCAGTATTTGTTATCGCAGAGAAGAGGAATCAAGTCAAGTGCGGCCATCCAGTCATTCATGTGGTGGAAATTTCTCTTGAGGTCCATATCTAATTAAAGAAAATTAATCTAACTTTAAGATTAAATGCCTCAGTGTTCCTGACAAGCATGATGCATTCAGTTATAGTCTGTAAATAAATTATATTTTCTCTTATTAGTCTTTCAGTGATTAAAACATTAGAACTCAGCTTCCTAATGGTGTATTAACTTAATGGCCTGTGTTTGTTATGAAGGTGTAATGTTTTTTTTTTTGTTTTTTTTTTACCAGGATCACACAAGAGAGGAAAGGGTTAACCAAATGATGCATGCACACTCATGCGCGTACAGTACTCGGCACACATGCTTTCCTACTGGCACAATTAGGAGATAATGACATGCACAAAACCTGCAAGTAATTCAGTTTGTCTTCACATCGAGCATTAATTAACAGAACCCAATTAAAACAGGCCAAGCCACACCAATTGGGCTCACAAGGCAATTTGCATCCCAATCAATCTTTGAAATATTATGCAGATATATATTTTTTTTCTGTTCCTACACCGTGTTAGAATAAACAAGCGGGGAAACAAATGATGAATGGAATATTGTTGTGGAACACAATCAAGCGTAGACAAACAAAACGGTGAGAGAATGAATACATTTACACATGCGTGCAAACATGCATCTGAGGATATCCGTTTGTTCCGTGTGCTTGTCGTACATTAGCTGTGACTCTTGAAAATTGGAGAGGTATGTGTACGTTCATTATGTGTCTGCATGAATGGGTCCGATTTTTGCTTTCTTTCGCATTCGATTCTCCAGACTGGTTGACTGTATTTTCCGTCCGTTCCATCCATAACAGAATATTCAGCCCTCTTTTCGGCTGCCAGCGGTACTCAATTTCACTTGTCTTGGCAATGTAGTCATCCCTTCATAAAGTAGCAAATCAATAAACGGTCTCTATTCCAGATCATAATTCAAACAGGCATTTGTGTCCTCCCTCCTTTGACATAAAACAGTGGTGAGGGAAATGCATTTTTACTGCGTATCAGGGCTGGTGCAACATTTTAACATCGAGTGACTTCAGTATGCAGCAGCTGCCTCCCTGCTAGGGCTCCTGTAACCTCAGCCAAAGAAATCAATGTTTCCCATCCTCCCTCCAGCGCCTACTGCCAAGAAACCCTTTCCTCCTTTCAATCTTCACCTCCCGCCCCCCAACAGAGACAACGCCGAGTTTGACTTTAACACCCAGTTGTCATTAAAAATGCATTAAAGCATATTAAGGCATAATTAGATATTAGTCCCTAATCCGTTGTAATTACAAGGACAAAGCTCTTTTGGTGAGAGAATAGCTTGGCACGATAAATGAGTTAAACACACAATTTCTGATACCTTAGATGTAATCAGCTCAAAAGGTGTGATGACAAAGGTAATCAAAAGCAAGAGGGTGGAAAAAAGGAGGGAAAGAGGTTGAGTCGAGATGAAGTTATATTTTTGAGAGTCAGAGAAGACCATTACATCACACTGTGGAAATTCAGAGCCTCTCTGAAGGCATACAACAGCAGAATTAGATGCAGCTGTAGAGGTTGGCTGCAGGGATGAGTTTAGGAACTTTTGTGTGTGTTTTGTTTGTGTGTGTGTGTGTGTGTGTGTGTGTGTGTGTGTGTGTGTGTGTGTGTGTGTGTGTGTGTCTGTTTGTGTGTGTGTGCAGGGGGGGGGCAGTATTAAAGAAGTGGGGAACACTAGTAAAATGAGAAGAAATGTGTGAAGACTCGCACTGATAATTGTCAATAGATATCAACAGATAGCTACTATATATCCCAGAGAAGGTCCCCCACCCCTTCTACACTGGAACATGACACCCAGAATGTCTTTTTGCATTTGTCTCTGTAGTTTTTTTTCTGTCACTTTGTGGTTGTTTGCTTGACTTCCCAACAAGAAATGTCAACAGTCAACTCATCCAGATGCTCCTGTGCCACCCCTCGGCCCCACCCTTGGCTGACTAGGTAACCAGTCATCCAGCCAGCCAGCTGCCTAATTTGGAAATACTGTGGGTTTGATAAAAAACAGAGACATCTGTGCAGTGTGAATTGGGGCCTCAAAATGCATGGAAACTACTCCCACCATGCATCAGTTAGACTGTTTTGTTTTTTTTCTTCTCACGCAGGAATACTCAGATAAATGAATAACCAGCCTCATAATATCCACTGATGTATGGTGTCATAAGGCCTGTATTCTGAATAATTAATAGCCTGTAATATTAGTGGTTTAATGAAGGGTGGCTTGTCTCCAGCAGCTCACACTATTGCACCTCAGTTCTTGTAAAGGTCTGTTCGCTCCCACCACCACCACCACCCTCGCCCCATCAAGCACCACCACCACCCCCCAGCTCCGGTCGCGATCTCCTCATCCACTGGAAGGTCTCACACTGGGTACAAAATGTATATTTGATGAGCCGCAGAAAAGGATGAAAGGTGACAAATGCTATTTTTAAAAAAACCCAAACGAGGCCACCCAGCAACAGGCCTAAACAGCACTTGAGTGATGAGACAATGAATTCTGCGGGCACCAGACTGCTGTCATAAAAGTGCTGCTGTGTAATAGAGGAACAGGCATATATAGTGAAGAGTCAAAGGGACTAACATGGCTCCATATCAGCTCTCGAGCCACATAACAGCTCCACTGGTGGCCATTGTTTTGTGTAATTTCCAAAAGGGGAAATTTAAACAGCTCGTTGCTGATGAGTTGTTTGGGGGACAATTTGATCCACAGACAGAGGGAATTGTGGTTAATGATGCCACTGGCAAGGTGATTATATAGCAATGTGTAACATAAAATTAATTACTGTTCTTCCAATTGGATTTTTTCAAAATGTCGTCCTTGTTTCTCCATATGGAGGGTTTGGAAATTAGTCTTCAGAGATTGTGAATGACACGCAGTAGGGCCATTAAGTGTGTAGTTATGACTCGTTATGTAGAATACATCCATCGTGAACAAATAAAGATACTGTATTCCCATCTTTTATGTTACTCAACTACTGTCTGCCTTTGTCACACGAAAAAATAAGAAAAACCTGGACCTGCCAGTAAGATGACTCTTGATATTCGAGATATTACCGGCCATGTCCCCAGTGAGCCAGTTGTAATGATGATGGCGAGGAAATTTGAGATTTGGTAGAAATCAACCTGTCTCATCCCCGTCATGTCTTCAATATGATTCAGCTGAAAGCGTCTAAAAGATCTCACATGTATTACTAGTGAGGGTCAGCCTCAGTGTTTGCGCATTAGATTATCGTGATCTCTTCCACCTATGACAGGATATTAGCTATCTGCAGTCAGTCAGTAGTAGTTAACTCAGGACGGCTAGTTAGCTCCATGAACCTGATAGTGATTTCAGTAGTCTGCACCGATACTACAGTGTTAAGAGTCCCAGTGAGCTGTCGACAGGTTGTTAGCTGTGGCTAACCAACAGAGGTGCAGTATAATGATCAGCAAACTGAAATAGATCAGTGGTGATGAAATCAGCGTGAGGCTACTGCTGCTGTTACAAGTGGAGGGTTTAGGCGGCTTATTATCTGTGTGGGTGTGTATTTGTGTGGGTGTGTATTTGTGTGTGTGTGTGTGTGTGTGTGTGTGTGTGTGTGTGTGTCTCTCTCTCTCTCCCTCTATGGCTGCCTGGACTAGCTTTATTACTAAGACTGAACCGTGTTCTCTACCCTATAGGATCATAACTGGCCTCTTCTGCTACAGTATGGAATAGCATTAGCATCGGATCACAGGTGCTCAGTGGCTGCAGTAGCCATTTAGCTTGATGGCTACGAGCAA